TATATAGATTTTCACAAAATAAACTTCTCATTTGGAAAGATAGAGAAAAACGCAACAGCAATAGAACTCTAAATGTCCAGCAGCAAAAGTCTCATTCAATTGATGGATGAACGTAAGCAGTCAAATGGAAACAAATCCTTAATCCATAAATATCTTTATTTTGCTCAATGCCAAACATTCTAATTTTCATGTCTAATAGTTCAGTAGTATCCTGTATCAAAATTTCTGGCAATTTAATGGTACAGACCACCTTCATAAACAAAGAAAAATAAATAACGAGCATTATCTAATAAGATAATCACCATAAAATGTTCACTAACAACAATAACAATTAAAACAACCAAAAAACAAAAAAACATGTTCGCACTTATCAATAAAAAAACGTCAACAACCAAAAAACAAAAAACATGTTCGCACTTATCAATACAAAAACGTCACAAGAAAAGCAACTCACAAAGATCAAAGTGTTGCAAAGCAAAAACCTTGATACTCTCAGGCAATTCCCTAGTCCCTTCATTCGCGTACCGCTAGTCCAAAAGTAGCAACCTGGTCAGGCGTTCAATTTTTCGCCTTAAATTCCTCCGCTAACAAACTACTTAAATCATCCCCTCTATTGTCCTCTTCCTCTGTAACCACCTCCAGCAGTCCCATCTCATTCCTGCCAACCCCTCTTTTTCTCCCTCTTATCACCATTATCACTATCCACTTCAAGCTTTTTTCTCTTCTTTTTCGGCCTAGAAATTTTTGCCAAGTTCCTAAACTTCTCATACCCTCTTGAATTAAACCTCCTCCCCGTAGCCTCCAGCAACGTCAGATCGTATATGTATTGTTCGAACGCCTGCAAACCGAACACTTTGGACATCGTCGACATCTGAGGCACCATCTTCGGCCATGACTCTGTCCTGCTGCTCCAGTACCTACCATAAAATCAAATTTGTTAGTCGTTGAGTTAAATCGAAATTGTAAGAAAGATATAGACATAGATAGAGAGTTACTGGGGTGTGCATCTTCCTCTTGCTCTGGTATAGAGAAACCCTGGTGCTCATTGCTGAGAAGAAGACGATTTTGTATTAAATTAATCATAAAGAGGTAGCGGAGCTCGATGATT